CCCTTGTGAAACATAACTTTAGCTGCTGAGTGGAAGTGGAAGTTTCTTCCGTCAGATGAACGTTTACTCAATCAGAAATTCGCCATGTCCCTCAATCAATCAATCAGTCGTCGCATGTGTCGCATCGTTATCTGTTTGTAAAAAGCTTGCCATTAAATATATATCGACTCAAGAACGGGTCTCGATGCCAGTCGGTCGATTGCTCGAGCGGCTGCTAATGGACCGAAAGCCGGTGGCACTGGGCAAAATGCAATCAAAATTTAAAAGTCGTTTAACAAATGCTCCAATTAGCATTGTGGGCGACGACGACGACGACGGCGGCGCGTGCCAATAAACTTAATGAGCGGAAAAAAGGAAGGAAATGCCTGAGAATTGGCATGAACGGGGAAGGGAAGAAGTGGCAAGTGCTTCGCGGAGGCTGCAGTTGCAGTTCAAGTTGTTCGCTTCAGTAAAGTAAACAAATTCGAGGCGTGGCCGAAACATAAAAACAATAAACAAACATGCGCAAGCGTGGCCAGCGACAGCAAGGCAACTGAACAGCCAACAGATACCCTGGAAAAAAATGTAAACGCAAGTGCGCAGAAATCAGTAGCTGAAGAAACGTTCAGAGTGGCAAAGCTCGCAAGCACAACTTGTGATACCCTGTACAGGCATGCCCTGCAGCATATACCCTGTAAGCACATGCCTCGTAAGCTCATACCCTGCACACTAAATGACAAACTTAAAGATGTTTAAAACTTCAGTCAAGAGCTATGAACTACGCCCAACGACAGAGTTTGTGGAATTCACCCGCAAAGGTGGAAAATGTGTGAGAAAATCTTATATATTGAACGTTAAGGATTTTCTCACTGTAAATACTACAAGAAAAAATGCATTTAGGGAGCCAAAAGTAGCCAGTCAGACATTCCTTTAAGCCCATATACTCCTTTTCACTCTAGGAACAGAGTATATTTCTATGTAAACTCCTTTTCACTCCATGTATAGGGTATCGAATTTCGAACTAACTAAACTGATATTTTTTTATTTATTTTAATTTTATTTTCAATATGCATAAAATATGCATCTAAACCTCTTTCACGGCAAATCCACTGAAATGTGTGGAAAAGGCGTGAAAATGGGGTAGGAAAAAAGTACTTTTCATGCTACGGATAGCTGCTAGGCTTAAGATATGCCCATCTTATGTGCGGCCTAGGGTATATATGTTAAGTGCATGTTGTTGTGCGTTAGTGTGTGTGTGTGTGCGTGTGTGTGTGTGTGTGTGTGTGTGTGTGTGTGTGTGTGCCACAGTCGGGCTGGCACGACATTTGGCTAAATTATGGCCTGGCTCGACACGGCTTCGCTTTGGCCAGATCAGACCAGCGCCGGCTAGCCAAACGGGGACAGTTGTTCAATCTGATTCCCCCCCCCCCCCCCCCCCCCCCCATCACTCCCCCTCTACTCGCCCCCTCCTCATCGCTCTGCCCAAGAGCGCTGCCTCCGCATCTTCAACTCCCGCTCGCCAATTGTTTAGCCGTTTGCTTTGGCCGTGCCCAGCAGCCGTCAATCAGAGGCGGGGGCAGCGGGGCGTGGCCACTTACGGGGCGTGTTCGACCCCAAATGCCAATCTGAGCTGTTGTTGTTGTTGTTGTTGTTGTTGTTGTTGTTGTTGTTGTTGTTGTTGTTGTTGTTGTTGTTGTTGTTGTTGTCTTTCATTAGTCGTGATTAGTTTGGAAAAGGCACAAACAATATCTGAGGCCGAAAAACTGAACGACATCAAAACCAAATCGAACAAGAAAATTATTACAAGTCGTGCATGCTCGACTTGTGAATACCCTGTAGCCAGCGCAGCAGCCATTTTTACCATGGATAGAGCAATTGCTTCTTCTTCTTCTCTTTCTGCTTCTTCTTTTGACAAGTGTCTCCATAAATATTAAACGATATTTATCGATATGTTCGATAAATGGGCGTGGCTTTATCGATATATGTGCGCTTTTAGGCTTGCAGCTGTCTTCTTCTAATTGTTACATGCGTGGGCACACAGTCAATATACCCTGTTGTTGGACATTTTTATTTACAGGGTATTTTAAAAAGTAGCAACAAATGCATAGAAATTGCCAATTTCCAGTTGTTTGTCGGGCAGTTTGCGGTTGTTGTCAGTTGTTGTCAGTTGTCGGTTGTTGTTGTTGTTGTTAGTTGTTGTTGTTGTTGTTGTTGCTGCCACGCGCCATGTGCAGCAGCAGCAGCAGCAACAAGTCAAGCGCCACTTTGGACTCTTGACAAATTGTGAGCAACGTGCGCAATTGAAACAATTTAATCCAAAGCAACAACAACAACAACAACAACAACCGTTGCTAAAACTCCATGTTGCACATACGCACAGTGGGACAGGCAGCCAAATTGGCTGACAAAAGTTGTGGCAAAGGAAATTTAATTGAAAAAGTATATTATTATAATCATCTTGCTTTCAGCAACAATTCAAATAAGTTTTACTTCAGTGTTTGATTGACAGACTGATTGATTGATGCATTCAAGTGATTGACGACCGACGTCTGCATTTTTGACAGCAGCCAACATTTCCACTCATATTCCACGCGCAGACGTGATTTCGTGGAATTTTGCACGTGACTGTGGAAAATTGCCGCAAAATGTTTGTTAAATTGTAATTGTAATTGTGGTGTGTGCGAGCCAGCAGCCCGAGCTTGTAGGCGGCAGCTGTGGGCCGCTAAATGTGGCCATTTATTCGTATTGAAGCTGAAGTATGCCAATCGAAACATGAAAAAAACAAAAACAAAAACAAAGCAGAAAAAAAAAGGCCAAAGCATACGAGCACGACAGCAAAATAGCAAAATAGCAAAATAGTTAATAAATAATTAATAAATAAAGTAAACAAATGGCAACAACAAGAGCTGAGCTGCGATCGATTTGCATATCAACATTTCACATTCAATTCTATTGAAAGCTTTTCTCACTTTAGCCTCAATTTCCCCCCCCCCCCCCCCCCCCCCCTTTTTTTGTTGCCAACTTATTTTTTGTTTTGCTTCTTGTTTTCATCATTTTTGAAATTCAATGAGCCGCGTTTCCAGCCTCAATTACCAGTTAGAGATGGGCGCGTGACACGCAGCGCATATCGAACGTGTGGCGACTAAATCAAACGGAGTGTTATCGAAAGTAAATAACTTAGTTTAACTATCGATAAGTTTATCGATAAATGCAACGATAACTTAATCGATAGTTCGTGAGTGTGTAAGTCGCCCACGCTTACCTGTCCGATTAACAGTTGTGTCTCTTGTTTGGTTTATCAATAAATATATCGATATAGTCGATGAATATATCGATATTTGTGATGCAGACAATGGAACAAACGATAGGAAGTATATATTTTGAGATATATACTTGAGCTTTGCAAAGTGTATAAAATAATCGAAGCTCTTTAGTAAATGGCAGAATATTCCTATAGATATATATATATATAGATGTATATATATAGCTTAAAATATCAACAAAGATATCCAACAATAGATTGGCACACCTCGTTTTTCAGAAGTACTTGAAAAACTATCGATAAATGCATCGATAAAAGTTGAGCAAAATGTATCGATAAATATATTGGCTGCAATGAAAACGACCGAGATATGTTATCTTATTATCGATTAAAGTATCATGGAATATATTGCCAGAATGTATCGATACTTTTAGGCTTGTGGTTCGTGTCAAAATAAGCAGCCATCTCTAATCGAAAAGATCTGAACGAACCGCAACAAACGTTCAATACAATCGATAATGTATTTATTGGCATTGATTTACTCGGAAGACCCCCCCCCCCCCTCCCCCAACCACTCTGCCCGACCCGGACCGCCTGTGGGAGGGGGCAAACGTCGCAGTCGCGGGTGCTGGCAATGGGACAAAATTTATGATGGCATTTACCTAATGGCAATGCGGCAATGTAAAATGCAAAATAGCTGAAATGTGCGAGAAATATGCAAAAATGTATAGTGTTATTTGTAATTAACACGAAATATAACATCCACACATAATACATGTGTCGATTGATAATACATTTGCATCATTAATCAACTGCAAAACTAATTTATGTAATAAAAACAAGCGTAAAATATCAAGACAACTTCATGGAGCGTCAATCGGAAATCAATATTATAGACAAAGTCAGATTGATTGAAAATTAATATATATAATTTGATCTGTTTTTGAAAAGCGCCCAAAAGCCCGCCACAAGTTTCGTTCAAGCTCAACGAACAGGTGTAGTCGATACATACACCAACGCCTTGCTAACTAAACGAACTCTCAACGTACACAGGCGTATTTGGACACACACCTGTTAGTCAAGTTACTATTGCTTAAGCGAGGACAACAGACCAAAATCAGTTGTGACACACGCTTAGTCAGACACACAACCAGTGCTAAATTTTGCTGTATGTAAAAGTACTAATCGTGCGCTAAGCTTTAGCACAGAAAGCTACTTTATACTACGTAGCCACTTTTTACACCATATTATTTGCATCCTTAGTATTATCATGTTTTGTATTGTTCATCTTTCCACATTGTAAACTCAACGACTTTTGTGTGAACGTAAGCCCTATTCAGACACACACCTTTTACTTTGGTCCTACCCAATTTACTTACCAGCAAGAGCCCAAGTGTAGACAATAATTTGTTATTTCCACACAAGCCCACTGCTCACACACCGAACACATGCTGCTCACTTAACGAAAGCTGTTGGCATTGCTATCGATATGTTCTAAAATTCAGTTTTTCATATTTTTATGCTCTTTGAGCAAACGATAACTTTTACAGCGCTCCGCGTATTTTCCTTTTAGTTTAAATGTGATTACATTGGAGTATTGTTTGTGCAATGTAAATGTATCGATATATCGCATGATTAACGCGCACGCGCGCGCCTATCGATGCTGCCTGCTGTTCGTCGATATATTTTGTGGTTGCACTCAAAGCGGCGCCTAGCAACATTAACGCATTGGCAACATTCGCTGCAGTTGGCAACATACGCTCTCCATAGCCAAAGTGGACGTCGGGCAGCTGAATCGGTCGGTTTTATTTCAAATTAAATTCCCATTGAACACACACGCACACTGTGACAATTTCTACAAATACATAAATCGTTTTTGTTATTGTTGTTGTGTTTTTTTTTTTTTTGGCATCTCGCTGCAAGTGACACACATATGCAAGTGAGTGTGTGCGTGCGTGCGTGCGCGTGTGCGTGCGTGTGCGTGTGTGTGTGTGTGTGTTTATGTATTTATATAGCTTAAAGTGAACTTTAGTCGAATTGAACTGTTGTTTATTTTTATTTGCAATACGTTTGCCAACATTTGCTGTGTGCGTGTGTGTGTGTTGTAAGTCCTGTTAAGGGATGGAGGGGAGGGTGGTGGGGGAAGGGGGGTGGCGGCGCTGTGGCAACGCCAACGTCAACGCCACAATTAAATACAAGTGAAAAATCAATACCGTTATACCGTTAGCATTTTGTTGTTGTGCTTGCCTCTCCCACTCAATTCGCCCCGTGTCTGTGTGTGTGTGTGTGTGTGTGTGTGTGTGTTTATAATTCTGCGTATTGCAATTATCAAAGAAAACAAGTGCGCTGAAAACTAGACTCCAGCTGCCGCACACCAACACACCTACACACCAACACACCTACACACCTACACACCTACACACATATGTATGTGTTATATGCCTTGCCTTTTGGCTGTTGCCAGGCAGGGCAACAAGCGACTGTTACAGACCTCCCACACACCTCCCCCTGCCCCTCCCGCACTGCCCACACATTGCAGAAGCAACAAACGTGCGACGTTTTTCAGTTAACCGTTAACCGTTAACCGTTATCCCTGTTTCTTATTCCTTTTGCTGCTGTTTTCCTATTTTTAGGTCACATTCGATTTTCGCCCTAAGCTCTAAATTCGCTGCGACTGCTGCCGGCTACACACACACACACACACACACAGACACACACACACATACAGGATGCTGCTCAATACTTACGCAACGCTGGCGACATCTGACGGCGTAATTAGCCAACACTAACCGTATAGCTGCTCGCATTCGCATTCAAACAACAACAACTAACGGCATAAGGGCAGCAGGCAAAGAGATAAGAAGAAGCATGGCCAACAACAGCAATTCGTCGGCAACCGCATCGCTGGCCACAACGCCGGCGACGACGCCAACAGCGCTGACAACGGCAGCGACAACAGCCAAACGCCTCGGCTATACGGCCCCCGCGTCCACCGCGGCCACCGCGTCTGTCATCTGCGAGGAGGTCTTCGATGAGGCATGTTTGCCATCTTCCGAGGGTGAGTTGAAGTCGGGGCCTAACGGCAAGCACGTCAGTCTCTAACCCGTAGAGCAGCCCCCCCCCATTCCGCTGCAGCTGCCCCTTACCCAGCTTTCGATACTTGAGTCCTGTGCGCAGTTTTTTGCCTTGCGGCAGGTTCGACTGCGTCAACATAAGCTACAACTACGCAGTGTTAACATGTGCTTTAACAGTGCTGTTAATGTTAATGAACACGTAAGCGTTGCTGTTAATTGTATTATCGTTGACATAGATTGAAAGCTGTGACTGGGACATATGTATGTTAAAATTCAGATGCTGTTAATCTTGACTTAGTTAACATGTGCATTAACAGTGCTGTTAATGTTAATGTGAAGCTGAACAGCTGAAGCGTTGCTGTTAATTGTATTATTGTTGGCATAGATTGAAAGCTGTGACTGGGACATATGTTAAAATTGCAATGCTGTTAATCTTAGCGCTTATCAAGATTCTTAATAGACTTAGTTAACATGTGCATTAACAGTGCTGTTAATGTTAATGGGACGTTCAATATGGACACGGCTTGGGTTAGCTTAAAACTAATCACAGGGCTAACAGCTGTTAGAATGCTGTTGATGTTATTGCTGTTAGAAAACTCGTTTTGGCTCGGCTAACATATGTTAAAATAATGTATGTAAAATAATCAGTATGTTAACGCGTCAAGATAGCTTTGTGCCAACTGAGCGCAATGTGTTCAAATTGTGATTTTATTTGTCATCAAACAGCGTCTTAACATATGTTAAATGCGCATGTCTCTGTTAATGTAAAGCCAAATATGTTGCCGCCTCTGACTAGATACTGTTATGTTATTACTGTTAGCTTAATAGCTGGGCTAACATAACGTAAACTATGTCAAATTGATGCTGTTAATTTGATTGATTTTATTGAATTGCAGACTCGACCAACATATGTTAAGGCCAGCCTATCACTGTTAATGTGACACTCAATATGTTAACACATTAACATATTTTAAATTGTGCTGTAAATGATATTATTGATTTAAATTAATAGCTGGGTTCCCAATGTCAAGGCTAAGCTGATGGCAAAATAGATATCAAATTCCCCTCCGTTTTGATCAAAAGTCGTCTAGCGTGGGCTCACTGTACGGGCTGCGCCCAATAAGAATGTCCTTTAACGGACTCATTTGTGACAAAGCGAAAGGGACTCAGTCAGGGGAACTATATTATGTAAATACAAGGTACAGTGATCGCTCGTGAAGAAGCACTTGCAGAAGTAACAAATGCAAAACCACGTTGAAAAAGGCTCAGAAAAACCTTGTTGAAAGTTGGCCAAGAGAAAAATAGGATTTACCCATATAAAAAGTGCAGAACTTTTACCTCGTTTTCCTTTTTTGTGTGGGCTTCGGACAAGAGAAAAGTCACGTTCTTGTAATACCCTAGGATTTAAATAGACCTTGCTTATAGACAGAAATATCACCGAAACCCTCTACTCTCTTGTCTTCACTGCGAATTTCGAATTTATATTTGAAACAAATAACATTTTCTATGCCAATAAGAAAGTACTTTAAAGCCAAAGCGTTTCAGTTAGCGAGCGAACACTGTAGCTATAAAAGAAAAGAGCTACAAAATTGGGTGTGTAGGGGTTGTTCATGGGGTTTGTTTAAGGCACATTCTTTTTCGCAGTTCGGTTAATGGGTCAACTTAAAATGTGTGTGTGTGTGCGTGTGTGTGTGTGTGTGTGTGTGTGTGTGTGTGTGTGCCTCGGTGGTTGGTTAATGCTTTGCGTTTCGTTTGGTTAGTTTTGGTCAGCTGTTCAAGGGAACTGGAACCAGGAAACAAAGGAATCGGAAAATTGTGAAACCTGCGAAACATGTGGAAATGAGAAACTGTAAGCCGCTTAATGGATTTGCTCAACTAATTAATTGTGTATGGAAATGCCTTAAGCGAGTGTGTGTTAGCTGTTCAAATGAACTGGAACTGGGGCACAAATGAATTGTGGAACCTGATGAGCTGAGGAACATGTGGAATTGGGAAACTCTAAGCCTCTTAACTGGATTCCCTCAAGTAATTGCATGTTGTGACTGAGCGTGAATGTTCGTTTGTGTTTTAGATGTTCAGATGAACTGGAACTAGGGAACTAGGGAGCTGAGGAACTGTGGAACTCGAGGAACGTGTGGAATTGAGACAGCCAAAACCGCTAAACAGACTGTTGAGCTGCGAGCGAATAAAGCAAGTGTGTGGTTCGATGTTGGTTGTTCAAATGAACTGGAACTAGCGAACAAAGGAACTGTTGAACTTGAGGAACATGTGGAATTGTGAAATTCTCAGCCAGACTGTTGAGATGTTAGCGAATTAAGGAATGTATGGCTGGGTGTAAACTGTTCAAATGAACTGGAACTAGGGAACTAGGAAGCTGAGGAACTGTAAAACCTGAGCACCTTTTGGAGTTCGGAACTTGAGTGTTGAGCTGTTAACGAGCTTAGCGAGTGTGCGATTGTATGCAAGGGGTTGGCTATGACGACGACGACGAACCACCCTGAAATAAAACGCAGCGACATATTGCGCACAACTTGGCCAAAACGCAAAACGCAATTGACGTTGCCAGGAAACCAGCGTTGACCGCTGCACGAGATATGTTTTTGTGGTTGCAGGTGCTGCCACAATCAATAAGAGGGGCAGAGAGAGAGAGAGAAAGAGAGAGAGAGAGCGACAGCGAGCACAGGCCATAAGCCGCAGTCAATTGGCATTCAGTCGCGTTTCTTAGCCGGGCTTTCAATCTGGTGCCGCTTTGTTTGGCCAGGCCAAATGGAATTTTTAAGCGCTTTTGCCAGATCCGAGATTCTTTTCAAATGAAAAGCAAGCCTCATATTGAAAGCAAAATCACAAATTTCCTTTTCACGTGGTGTGCCTCGAGGAGCAGTTGAAGCGGTAGGAGCTGCAGCAGTAGGAGGACAAACAGCTGCTGGGCCCAGCTGGATTTGACACAGTTCGTAAGCTTTTCATTAGTCCCAATTAGCATTAGAGGCCCCTTTTGTGCGCCCACAGACAAACTGGCCGATAGCTCTGGGCCAACAAGCTTGCCAGCCATTATGTGGGCCACTTGAAAACAAAAGCCAAGGCTTTTTATATATCCTATATGTTTATTTAATATTTATAAGAAATGAATATGTGTGTCTATGCACACAAAGGCGACCCACTTAACATCATTTGCTTTGCGTGCTTTTCTAGTTTTAAACCCGCTTTTAACTAAAAAAAGCTAGAAATAGCATTAAAACCGCTTTTAGGCACATTTGGCTTGAATAAAACTGCTGTTTGGCCACAAATTTTCAACTTCTTGCAAGTTTTTTAACCGCTCTTAACATAATTTTCTATTTGAATATCTCTTTTTTACTCAACCTCAAAGCGGTTTTAAACTCTTTTTCCAATGAAAGTGAAGCCCAAAACTCGCTAGATCTCTTTTAAAGCACATTTAGCTTGCATTTAGCTACTTATTAATCGGAAATTTAACTTGTTTTCAGTTTTTGACCTTTTTTTATCAAATATTCCATTTATCTGGCTTTAAAGCGATTTTAAGCCCGCTTTCAAATTAAAGTAAAGCCAAAAAAGTCGCTAAATTGGTTTAAAAGCACATTTAGCTTGAATTTAGCCACTGATTGGCTACAAATTTGATATTTTCAATTATTTTTAAACCTCGTTCAATTAAATTAACCACTTAAATAACGATTTTCACCTCTTCTTAAACCTGCTTTAAGTGTTAAACCCAAGTTTAAACCCGCTTTCAACTAAGAGTGAAGCCAAAAATGTCGCTAAAGCTCTTTAGCTTGAATTTAGCTACCGATTGGCTACAATTTAATATTTTCAATTATGTTGAAACCCAATTAACATTATTTTACCACTCGAAAGCGCTTTTCAACTAGTCTTAAAGCTGCTTTAAACCCGCTTTCAACCAAATGTGAAAGGCCGAAAAGTCACAAAATGTGCTTTAAAGCGCATTTAGCTTGAATTTAGCTACTAATTGGCAGCAAATGCAACTTCCTGCATCTAAAGTCTTCAGTCGAGTTAATGTCCGTCTCTCTTTTGTCTTGAAACTTTGCCAGGGTCCGCCTTTCTGTTTAAGGCATTTCATATATTGAAACCAGACGAATCGAAACGCTATATTATATAGCTGCCGCTCGAAAAGTAGGCTCTAGCTTGGCATACTTTTCGGTTTAACAAGACAACTTGACAAAGCTTGGCATTTATAAGCTTCACCATGCTCCCTAAACAAATGCGAAATGTTCTTGAATGAAAAGTTATTTATTTTGTTTACCTAGAAATACGATTTAAGCTATAATATCAGGTCTTATCTTAATTCTATATAACATATAGCTCTAAAGGAAGAATAGCCTAAAAATATATATATATCCGGTTCTGCAAGATATTCTCATCCAGCTCCGCATTGAAGAGGTTCTCAATTCGAACTGTTGGGCAAATGTTTGACAGGGTATCAAGTCTTCGGCGTGCTTAGTAGGCGTGGCAGCTGCTGTAAGGCAACAAAATTGTCGCATAATATAATAATTGTAATCATATAAATAATTGTTATAAATTGTGTATACCTTGTTCTCTTTGATACGCAGAGATAAACGATTATGCGTCTCTGATTGGCATCGAGCCGAGCAAGGAGCCGCATCTGTTGTATCTGGCCAAGGAGGGGCTTATGGCCGCATTGCCCCCGGAGTGGAAGATCTGGTGAGTAGATGCCGCTAGCCAGCTGTGTATGCACTTACTCTCTGATCTTTTGGCATTTAGCTATTCGGAGGAGAAGAGCGGACATTATTATTACAATACGCGGACCAAGCAATCGCAGTGGGATCATCCGTTGGACGCCGTCTATCGCGAGCTGGTCGAGCAGACGCGCCAGAAGATGCTGCTGCTGGGCACGGGGGCGGCTGCTGGTGCTGCCACGCCCATTATTGATAACTCGGACGATATGTCGCAGCTGGACTCGGGCATACGCAGCATGCAGGGCACCGACGAGCTGCTGGACGACATGAGCTCGCCCTTGAACAACGGCGCCAGCCAACAACCAGGTGCGGCAGCTGGAGCTGGGAGCAGCAAGACGCATGCGAGCGCGTCGGCCGCTTTTCCGGGTCCCAGCGGATTTAGCGGCGGCGTCAGCCGCTTTCTGGAGACGCGCGGCAAGAGCTTCGGGCCGATCTTTCAGCCGGTGAAGAACACGCGCTTTGAGGTGGCCAAAACGAATACACAGATCAGTTTGGCCATGAAATTTGCACCAGCTGCCGCCGAGTCGCAGCCCAAGAGCGGATTTCAGCTATCGGGCAACGGCGCCATGTTCCTCAAGTCGCGACGCCAGCTGGAGCCAACGGAGCCGGCGTCGGGCAATGCGTATGGCGTCAAGGGCATATTGCGGGACACAAGCTTGACGGACATGCGACGTCGCTACGAACGGGACGAGGATGCCGCGACGATGGCGACGACGACAACGACGGCGACGGAGGATAAGAAAAGCGTGCGCTTCAATCTGGTGGAGACGCAGCGCATCTGCAGTTCGCCCGTCGTGGAAGAGGAGAATGCGCGCAAGCCAAGCCAATCGCCTGAGCTGTCCGACGAGGAGGCCGCCGGGCTGGAGGAGCACGAGCAGCAGCCGGTGGATGGGGAGGAGGAGGAGGAGGAGGAAGAGGATGAGGAGGAGGAGGATGTGGCAGCAGAGCACGCCGACGAGGAGGAGGAGGAGGAGGAGGACGAGGACGACGACGACGATGTCTGGGACGAGGATGTGGCCGATCCGGACGCCATGGTGGGCATGTGCAGCCTGAATCCCTTCATCAGTGACTCGCCAAAAGGCATTCGCATCATCAGCTTGCCCAAGTCACAGACCATACAAATGCTAAAGGCACAGGAGGAGTCCGCCGGCGTTAAGGCAGAGACGAGCAGCTATCTGGACAAACTGAAGGAGTGCGCCGGCGGTGCGACAGTGAAGCCCCTGTACGAGGACACCGACTCGGACTCGAAGGGCAGCTCGGTGCGCAGTTTCATTGTGAACAAATCGGAGCAGGACAATCCCTTCGAGCTGGAGCAGCTGCAGCGCAAATCGTTGGCGACCAGCGAAAAGCTCGGCATGCGCAGCCTCAAAATGGCCAGCAAGCTGGTCGGTCTGCTCAAGAGCAAGGAGCAGCAGCAGCAGCAGCAGCATGGATCCGGCGAGCTGCTCGGCGAGGAGGACATGGAGGCCATCAAGCGGGAGCATGAGGCGCGCCTGAAGAGCCTGCGCCACGAGTACGACCTGCGGCTGAGCGCGCATCAGCAGCAGCTGGAGGAGGCGTTCCAGCTGCAGCTGGAGGAGTATCGCGGCCAGCTGGAGCAGCAGCTGCAATCGAAGCGCGCCCAGGTGGTGCACGAGCACAAACAGCGCATGGCCACGCTGCAATCGAATCATGCCGAGCTGCTGCACGAGCTGGAGCGCGATCTGCGCTCCGAGCAGGAGCTGCTGCGACGCGAGCACGCCGCCAAGCTGGGCCAGATGCGCGACAAGCTCAGCCACGAGCTGGAGCTGGAGAAGCAGCGACTGCGCGACAATGGCGAGGAGCGTCTCTACGAGAAGGTGCGCTGCGAGAAGCGACTGCTCGAAGACAAGTATCGCTGCCTCAAGGAGAAGTATGTGCGCCTCAAGACCGACGTCAAGCTCTCGCTGGAGCGGCGCAGTCGCCGGCGCGAGGCGCAGGCGCTGCAGCAGCAGCTGGAGCAGGGCCAGGGTCAGGGCCACACGCAGACGACAACCAACTCGGAGACGGAGCGCTCGCTCTCGCAGAAGCCCTCGATTGGCAACAGCGAGAACCGTTCGCTCAGCTACTCGGAACAGGCCGGCGCTGGAGCTATGGGTGGCTCTGGCGGCGTCAAGCTGAAGCCGCCTGTGCCGCCCAAGACGCACCTGAGCAAGCCGTCGGGCATTGCCAGCAAGTACATCAAGCAGCTGCAGCTGCAGGAGGACACAAACACCTCGCTCAGCCAGTCGGACACGACCATATCCAACAACTATGGCAAGGGACGCTATTTGGCGCCGGCTGCTAACACCGCCAGCACCGTGCTGCTCAGCGACAATGGCAACTCCGACTCCGAGGCGCAGCACGAGACCAACAACAACAACAATAATAACAACAACAAGTTGGCGGCGCCGCGCAAGAAACTCTTCTCGCGCACAAAATCCGCTTCGACGTCGCGTCTCAATTCGGAGAACTTCAAGCAGCTGGAACAGCGTCCGTGCACGCCCGTCGAGAATCTGCGGCATCAGCTGCAAAAGCTGGAGGATCTGGAGGATCAGTTGCCGGAGCATACGCTGGACACCACCTATCATCTGCGCTATCCGTTCACGGATCACATTGCCGGCGAGCATGCCCAGCTGGTTGGCACCGTGGTCGGCTCCGAGCTGGAGTTCTTCAAGCATCGCATCCATTTGGAGCGCGACTCGGTGCGTCGGGCCAAGGAATCGCTGCGCACGCAACGCACCAATTTCCGGGCACGCCAGCGCGAGATTAAGCAGCGCCACAAGAGCTTGGCGCTGGCCGCAACGCGGCACTCGCTGGATCAGCTCATTCAGGAGGAGAAGGAGCTGACCGAAATGGAGGTGAATCTGCATCGGACGCGTGCGCTGCTCGGCGAGAAGGTCATCCGTTTGCGTCATCTCGAGCAGAGTCTGCTGCGCATCTACGAGAAGGAGAAGCAGCCCAGCGTCGAGCCGGAGCCCAAGGATGAAGCGGCCACGCTCAGCGATCTGTCCTCGCACTCCAGCTCCGGCTTCAGCAGCACGGACTTTGCCAGCGGCGCCGCCGCCGCCGATCTGCACAAGCGCAAGGAGTACTTCCAGCAGGAGTCTAACGAATGCATACAGAATCTCGAGATACTCAATGCCGAAATACGCGAAATCCTAGACATACTCGGCCACAAGCAACAGCAGCAGCAGCACCTGGCCATGGCCATGCCGCTAATCTCCCCGAACGAGCTCAGCTGGTCGCACATGCTCAGCCAGCAGTCCGGCTCGGGCACGGCCACGGCCACGGCAACGGCCAGCGCCGGATCAAATCCGAGCGTGCATGCACCGCAATCGATACCGACGCTGGCGGATCGACTGGAGACGTATCGCCAGCTGGCCGCCGGACGCATGCACAGCTCGATGGGCGGCGCCATCTTGGCGGCCAATACGATTGTCTCGCAGAGTCCGCGCGCCGTCAACTATACGACCAGCCTGGTGGAGCGGACGCGCGACTTGCGCAATTGGCTGCGTCAGGCCAAAACTGAGCACGAGCTGCTCACCGGCATCGGTGTCCAGCATGGCCTGACCCTGCCGCCCTCGGTGCCCGGTGCCAGCGCTGCTGCCGGGGGCGTGCCCGGGGGCGGGGGAGCGGCGGGCTCGACCCAAACTAATTTGTAAGCCCAAGCTCTGGACAGAGTCTGGTAATACACTCTACAGAAAGAAAAAAAGACAAATACCCTCTAGAAAGTGCAGAGGGGTAGCTTGATTTAGCCGATTATTATGCCTTTTGTGTCTGCCTTTTACTTGAGCCTAGCATTGTTTTTGTTTTTTGCACTGAGTTGCCACAGCTGCGCGCATACCCTGTAAATATGCGCCAACCTGGCTTACAGGGTATATCTGCAGCTTGATTGTTTTAGTTACATCTAAGTTTTAAGTGTTTTTGACAACTTGTTTTAAGCTACCATAAAAAGAAAAGAAAAACCAGAATATATATACCCTAAAATGTACTGCATATTAGGTATGCTCACAGTTGGGAGCGACCAACTAGAGAACTCATAGTCGAATGGCAAAGAGAAATCATTGAGATTTTAGCTGAGTACGTTAACTGCTAGTTAATCTGACTGTCAAAGTTAATTAGCAGCTTACACTGAAAGAAATATAATCAAACTTGCAAGAGTTATTCCAAAAAACAAAAATAAATATATCTATAAAGCAAAATAGATAAAAGACAGAATAGAATATAAAATAAAAAAAAAAACTAAAAACGTCGGCGCGCCAAAGTTAAAATACCCTTGCAGAGCTAACCAGAGAGTATTTCCATATAAAAAAAAAACGATTTCCCTTTCGATTCATTGTTTATTATATGATAAAGTGGTCCGCTATTAAAAAGATTTTCTGGGCATCTTAAAAGCATACTAAATTATTATAAAATAATAAAATATAATATACTATAGTAATTATATGATATAGATGTCCGATTTGAGTCTGAAATTTGACTATAACTTTTAAAGGCCAAGGTTTTCCATCAAGAGCCAAAGCTGGAAGTATTTCCCGAACGTTTTCTCACGTAGTTACGATATGATATAGGGTTCCGTTATTAAGATTTTGAGGGAATCTTAAAAGCATACTAAAGTAAAGTTTTTCAGTTCAATTTTGACCTATTTAGCCTATAGGAACTATATGCAATAGTTGTCCGATTTGACTTTGACCATAACATTTAAATGCCAAGAGGATAAACTGAAAAGGTTTTCAGTCCCTTTCGATTTCTAGCTGAATCAGATATATACCATAACGGTCAACGCCTGCAAGCGTGTCAAATCTAGATAGTTTTGTGTACTCTTATATTTGATATAAATATATAAATAATTAATTTGATATGATTTCTGAATCTGACTAAAAACTTAAAATGCACAACTAAATACTTTATATAGCAACTTGAAGAACTATCAAAAAACTATGTGTTATATATAATTAAAAAAAAAAATAATAATAATTAAATACCAAAGACATCAAAATAATACTAAATACGTAAGCAAAGACGAACTTAAGCCGCATAAGAACTTACTCTACTCATTTTTGCGATGAAACAAATTTCTAGAAAAGTAGCTCCTACAAAAAAATCTAAGAAATATGTGTAAAACATAAAATACTTAAAGTAAAATATACCGAAAATTTAGCTAAATAATTGAAATCAAATAATGCTCAAGGCAAACTAACTTTACAGATCTTAACTAGTTTTCTAATGCATACATAATTATCTGCAAATTTCGGTTTTGGTATTTTTCGGTATTTTTTTGGTATATTTTTTGGTATATTCTCGGTATTTTTCGTTGTTGTATTTAACATATCAGTGAAAAGTTTTGCAACAAAAGATCTTGAAAGTTCGTTTGTCTCGAGCAACAAATTGTACCAGAGTTGAAACAAAAACAAAAAAATGAATAATATTATTAAATGTTTAAATGTTTTATCTTATAGATATTGAAGATAAAAGCGATGGCAGTGGAAGTCATAGATAAAAATAAGAGAGTGAGAGAGAGAGAGAGAGAGAGAAGCGAACTCGAAGCACAATTAAATGGAATGCAGGTCACGTATTGTTGAAGGTTGTTGTAATAGTATTTTTTTTTTTTAAGATTTGGCAAATTAGATATGTCTCGTGGCAGAACCCAAATACATTTATACAGTTTAAACTATTTAATAAAAAAATAACTATGAAGAACTCTACGTAAAAACAATATTCCAAAATATGAACTTCATGTTTTCTGAAAACAAGAAGAAGATTCCAAATAAAATACACGCCCAGCTATAAACATTTTCTACCTATATTTTCTATAGTATTGAAAATATAATATACTTTCGACACTTTCAGTTCCTGTGCACACACACACACACACACATATATAGAGAGAGAAATGTAGAAGGTTAAGTCTGAATTTGAATAATCGATAACTGACAAGTTGTGCCCCCGACCACGCCCCCCCCCCCCCCCCAGTTCCACACCCCCTGATACATTCAAAGAAGTTAAGATTAAAGAGCAGGTAGCATTCGAGTCTGGCTAAATACCATATACCTACGATTATTATCGATTAACGATAACCGATTAACCATTATATATATCGATATATATATATATATGAACTTATGTATATGTGATGTTGTGATATTTGACTCTAGCCATATAAGACCTTAATTGAGTTTGAATACGTTTCTATATGTATTATTCAGTGTGACTTCATGATGATATAGCCACATTACTTAGTTTTACCCCCCCTCAAACCTCCCCCCCCCCCCCCCCCCCCCCCCCCCCCCCCCCCCCCTCAACCCTTTGCACGCGTCAATTGGCTTTTTTTGTTCCCCTAGATATATTCATGTGATAGCGACTCGATAGATTATATCCAGCATCTGATCAATGGCATTGCGAGTTCAGTTTTTGCTAGTTAAGTATTAAACAAAATTAAAGTTTATATATCTATATAGAATATCTAGATATATCTAGAAATATATATATATATATGTATGTATATGCACGCTTCAGATTCTGTGCGCATTCGCAAAGATTAACATGCATCAAAACTATATATATATATATGCTATATTCAGTCTAGATTCAGATGATAGATGTCTATATCTGTATATATATGTATAGAAACATTCTGGCTGCAAGTTCCATTATAATATGCTTTGCCATGCTACGGCTTAGGGTTTGAACCAGCGTCTCGCTTGTGAAACTGCTTTTCTACATTCTAGAACTTCGAATTTCAATTAAGAAAACCATTTCATTTAATTTGTTTGAATATTTGATATTTATTTTAAATAAAATTATATTAAATTTCAACAATTTATATATTTTAAATTACAACCATTTTCACTTTTCATTCACTTTTATTTCCATCATATTTTTTCTATTTTAATTAATTTTTGCCACGCCAAAGATTTAATGCCCTTGCAGACAATTCCCTTTTGCAGATATGTGAGGCGAGCAAAGCTCATAAATGCAAAGTTTTTTTGAAAATATCTTGGAAAACAGAATATTTTCCTATATAAGATCTTACTACTTCACCGATTGATCCTATATAGCAGCTGTATGATATAGTCCTCCGATTCGGCCGAGTTCGACATATGTACTGTCTGCAAAAGAAAGAGAGAGGAAGAAGGAGACAGACGGACAGATGACATCGGCTGTTGATGCTGAACTAGAACATATATACTTAAGTATACCCTCTACAAGTCCCTCGTCCGTCCGTCCGACTGTCTGTTTCTATGAGAACTTGTCTCTCTGCATTAAAGCTATCTTCATGGAACTTTGAATACGATCCTCTTTCGCACTATATCGTACAGCTGCTATATAGGAAAAATCGGTGAGAATAGTAGGATCTTATATTTTTATCAAGGAGCTTCGCTCTTCTCGCATATCTGCAAAATCGAGGAAAATATCTGCAAGGGTATTAAAACTTCGGCGTATCGAAGATCTGACTTTCTCGTTTGCTTTGACTTTTTTGTTAATAAGGAAACAATTCAAAATAACTCGTCTTGGATTTGGTTTTGAACTGAGCGCGTAACCTTATACTATATAGACATATATATTCATGTATAGATATATATGCATATAAATAAATAATTCATAGCTTGCATACGGTTAGCAAATCTTTGAATTTCCAGCAAGGCACAAATTAATACTTACGATCAAATAAAAACTCATAGCAAGCCCCTCTATTATACAAAATACTCTATAATATTTACAAAAAAAAAAAAACAAAAAAACAAAGGGAATGGTATTAAAAATCAAAAAAAAAAAAAAAAAACAAATTGTTGTTTCGGTTTTTTCTCGACGGTTAAGTACAAAAGGTTTTTGGACTAAAGGAAATATTAAAAAAAAAAAGTAAATTAAAAAGAAAGAAATTATGAGAAATGTTTATTAATTAACTGAATATAAATGTGAACAATTTATTATATATTTATCTATTACGATATGATATAGGACTAAAGAACTGGGCAAAGCTGCGTACACAGACAGCAACAGATTCATAAAATTGCAAAAATAAATCAAATAAACATAAATCGAAAATCAAGTAAATATTGTGAGTTAAACGAGAGTCCCCTTAAATGAAATAGACAAAACCCGGAAGAACTAAATATTTAGCACGAAATTAAACAGACATAAAACAAAATTAAAGAATAAAAAATAAATAAAAAACAATATCATAACGTCTTCTATTTTATAAATATGCATTTAGATATAGATACTAGATACTAGATACTAGATACTAGATACTAGATACTAGATACTAGATACTAGATACTAGATACTAGATACTAGATACTAGATACTAGATACTAGATACTAGATACTAGATACTAGATACTAGATACTAGATACTAGATACTAGATACTAGATACTAGATACTAGATACTAGATACTAGATACTAGATACTGTCGATGAAGGAAACCGAAAGGCTCTTCAGAGAATGTATTTGTTTTTGTACATCTACCAAGGTAAGTATATCTAGATCTTATAACTTTCCAGTTAGGCTCAAAGAACCTGGTCTTAAAATCGATATCTATCGAGTGGAAGATATCGAAAAAACAATACTATCTTATATTAAGTCTGATAAACCAATTGTTAGAGCATCTTTAATTTGATTACCATATTGGGAATTAAAAATTTAAAAAAAAAAAAGAATTTTCAGTCAATATGCAGTATGTTCTCGGGATCCACGTAGCTGCAACAGTGGCTCAGCACCCACTTAAAGAGCTGGACGGAGGCGCTGGTTATCAGATTTAAAAGCTTGCTAAATGAATCGCTTGAGTTCGTCTCCAAGTTGCAAGTCTTGCCGAAGTTCTCCCCGACCTCCGTCTGGGTTAAATTCTCGTTCAGCCAGCGATCCATTCTAGAAAAAACTCGGATCAATGCAGCTCCATTTCTTGAGTCGTCCAATATAAAAGAGCACTTACCCAATGGCCTCTGCTCCAGACCTCAAATGCACATAACTGACTTTTTTGAAAAAAAAAATTTCCTAAAATGTACAAAACTTTAGCCCTAATCGGTTGTATAAAATGTTCTGAACCTTTTTCGATTTCAGCATTGACATTTCGTCTTGCAGGCAAGACAAAGCAACATTGATTTGAAAATAAATATGATGAATTATACCTTAAACCCATCTCGAATTCGGAAAAAAAAATTCGTTTGTAAAAAGCAACACTTTGACTCAAATTTCGGTTCGGT